GATCACTAACAGAGGGAAAGCTGATGTCTCCTTGCAATGGTTGCAAGGAGACATTAGGAAAGAAAAACAAATAAGAACAGCTTGTTTGACTATAAATCTCAGTGCTTGAACCTCTTAATAATTTCACACATATTCTAGAAGAAAAGTTAAAATATATATCTGTCTTGTTAAAGTTTCTTGTGCTGAAAGCAAATTGCATGATCAAAACAGTAACATTTATGGATTGTCCTTTGGTTCGTTGGCAGCACTGCAGTTTTGTTTCTACATTTTTGTGGATTTTGCCTTAACCCTGGTAGGAAAATCACGTTTTGCAACTTTTTCTCAGGAAAACATTAAGAGTTGGTTAAGAGAGTAAGGGTAAGAAAGGAGCAAAACCAAGGAAGCCTGACTGTTACTGACACTGCAGTGGAATCTAAAAGAAACATCCAGTCAAACAAAAATAGGGGACGTGTGAGTGCATTTTTATTACTGACCACTATTTTTAATATATCCAATCTACTTTCAACAAAATTAAGAACCAAAAAGAACACAAACATCCTTTTGTTTAGTACTCAATACTTTTTCATTTGAAGGAAAAGTCATCCTGAGGTAAAAGAGCATGTTGCAGGATCTCTGCCTAGAGCTTCTAGCTAAGTACCCCTGGGTAGAGAAGACACCAGCAATTCTAGGACACTTGGTTTTGATGGGACCTCTGAGACTTGTCTGAGGGTGTTAAAATCAGGTATAAAACAAGAATGAATTCCCATATTCAATAGCCAGATCTGTGTCCTGCCTACAAGACATACAGGACACAACATTTCCTCTGCATTGCACAAAAAGCAGCTATTTTTGCAGGCTCAGACATCAGGGAGAGTAATAACATTCCATGAGAACATAACCAGCAGGAGCTTTGATTTGCAGCACAAGGCACACAAAGTGATTCTGCACCCTTTGTACCATAAATGTGACCACAACTGCAGAAACTGATGGTTGATATCTTGACTTAAAACATAAGAAATATAACTGAGTAAATAACTTCTGTCCATCTTCTCTTTTTTTGGTATTCATCCTTAATCTGACAAGATCAGCTGAGGGGTGCAGAAGGTCTGTATGTCTGTCTGAATTGCATGCATGGGATCCCCTACTTTAGCAGCAAGCAGACAGTTACATGTACACCAGGGTGTCTATGCTTACAGTTTTCTTATTTTTTCAGTGTTACTCCCACATATGACCATGCAAAACCACCATTAACCTATATATCTTTTTTTTAAGCTGATAGGATGGTTCCTGATAGGCAGCATCATGACTGTGGCACTGATTTCAACATGTGTCACCTACTGCTGCTCCCCGGTCAGCTATCTTCAGTTCAACTTCTGGAAAATTTACTCAAGAATAGAACATGAACTCTTTGAGACCAAAGCCAAAGAGCACGCAACCAAGCTAGCAGAAAGAAATACAAATTGTTTTTTTGAAGCCACTGACCCAGCACCATTTCATACTCCCAGGAATGAAGACTGGCAGAAGGTTTCAATCTTGTATACCTTTAATTCACAAGAGCAGTATTACAGCATCTTACACAAGTATGTGAGCACCAACAGAGGCAAGAGCACCAAATTCAGGGAAGAAGGTCAGCATCTCACTGTTTTAGAATTTGTGGATGAAGACCAGGCAAGCGTTTCAGGGTTGTAATGAAACAAATCCTTTGCAATGCTGGCAGCCTTTTTAGCCCTACTGATATAAAAAGAGTCTTATTCTCTGCTCTTACTGAAATCTATGCAAACTGAAAGTGAAAGCTGATATTTGTAATCCTCAGTAGTTTTGCTTTCAAAAACATTTTTATCCTTTTGCTTAACTACATTTAAAAGGGAGTTTTCTTATGTTGTTGTCCATTAAGAAGAGTTATATGCAAAATAATCAGCATCCACAAAGATGTCAGCAAATATTATGTCAAATTATTACTGATACCTTAAAAGCACTTGACAGTGGAGTAACAATACCAAACCTTATCAAAGAGAAAAAGACAGGAATGGAAGATTTGATCAGAAATTCAGTTTAGTTTATTAGCTCTCTCTTTAAAATTAAGCTTTCAGTGAAGCTTAGAGTAAGTTGTAGATTAAAAAATTTAGCTTGTCTTGAGGGGTTAGGCTCATGCATAACATGGCAGTGTAGGTGAAGCTTATATAATAACAAGCATTAAAAGCACATTCATACATTTAAGAACATTGAACATCTGCAATCCATATTAGCAAGTAGTAATATTCTTATCAAAGAACATCTTATTATAAGAAATAAAGATGCAAGTTTTGAATGAAGAATAATAAAGTTCATTTTTCTTCTGAAAAACTGTTGTTTAAGAGAGCATTTTAGATCTGTAAGTCAGATTTTTGGTCCAGGCTGTCCATTTACTTCTCCCAGAAATTCTCTCTTTCTACACAATAAACTCAAATCATTCAGACAGACAGACAGAAATCCCAAGAAGCTATTTGTTGCATTCATTTTGCAAGGAAGGAAAATTTTAACTATTTTAAGTAGCTGAATACAAAGAGTTTGAAGCTTCTTTCTCACTATAAACTAAAAATATAACACATGAAGAAAAAACTAAATTTAATTCTGCATGTAGAGAAGAATTTTTAAAAAGTATTCATCACAGTCTCTTACTTGCTCAGTGCTCTTTTCCTTCCGAGAAACTGGATGATTATGGAGTAACAGTGCAGGCTGGGGGCTGACCTCTTAGAGAGCATCTCTGTAGAGAAGGACCTGGGTGTCTGGGTGGATGGCAAGCTGACTCAACCCTGGTGAGGTCACATCTCAAGTGCTGTGTCCAGCTCTGGGCTCCTCAGTACAAGAAGGAAAAGGAGCTACTGGAGAGGGCCCAGCAGAAGGGCCACAAAGGTGATTTGGGTCTGGAGCATCTCTCTTATCAAGGGAGACTACGGGAGCAGGGCCTGTTTAGTCCAGAAAAGAGAGGATTGGGAGAGGATCTTGTTAATACCTCTCAAAGGTGGGTGGCAAGAGGGGGGTGCCAGACTCTTTCCAGTGGTGCCCAGCAACAGGAGGAGGAGCAATGGCCACAATCTAAAGCACAGAAGTTTCACCTCAACATGAGAAGACTTCTCTCAACATGAGAAACTTTACATTGAGGGTGGCAGAGCACTGACACAGGCTGCCCAGGGAGGTTTTGGAGTCTCCCTCCCTGGAGATAATCCAAACCCACTGGGATGTGTTCCTGTGTCACCTGCTCTAGGTGACCTTGCCTTGTCAGGGGGGGTGGACTAGATGGCCTTCAGGGGTTTCTTCCAACCCTAACAGTTCTGTAATTCTGCAAGAAAACAAGGACAGTCTAGGTTATTCACTTTAAAGATAATAATAATTTTTAAAAAGAGAATATTTGGTTAGTGTTGCTGGAAAAAGTAAAAATGCCATTGCCAATTAACAGCCTTTATTGTAGTCAGCCACATGTACATCTCAACCAGCAAAAACCCCACTGAGTGCTCTTGTACAGGCAGTGAAATCAGACAATTCCACAACACATTTCAGGTCTAATTAAAAAAAAACAAAACAGTAATAATAATTATTTTTTTAAAGGCAGGGAAACTTGTTATTGGTTACAACTTATTGTTACACGTACATGTTGCCACTTCTTACTGCTAGCAGGTAACAGTAGTTGGGCTGAGACCAAAGCTGGGTAACAAATAATTTAGTTTTTGTTCCCTACAAAATGGCTCACTTAAAGCTCCATTCTGCTATGCCACCACTGTACCACTTCATTAAGACAAACAAAGGGAGAGAGATTATCATGAGGACCGTTCAGGTCTGGTGAGAAGAAACCCAAGGTAAGAGACACCCTCACTTAGCATGATGAAGATGTAAACAGACTAAGGGAAAAACAGAAAAAGAAGGTACAAAACACAGAGATAAAATCAGAGTTAACTTGGGGCTACACACGATGTTGGTTTCAGTTTAAAACAAGTGTTTTGGTGAGAGGATGGTAAGCTGCTTTGTGGGTAGGGTGCTGTGCTAGTTGTTTGATGTGTTACATCAAACAACTTTAAACCTTTCCTATAACTTGGGTTCCTCTGAGGCTGCTCCTTCTTTACTTCCCAGTCATGTCGGAGTAACAAGTCCACTGCCAAGAGGAAGATGTTCAACAGCTGGCAGTGAAGGCCAGGTAAGAGCAGAAAACACAACCACCAAACCAGTTGTGTGGCAATCTCAGAATTTTAATTCAAGTTTCCTTAGGCAGGTACAGACCCACAATGGCTACACATTAAATACATCATGCTTTGTTCAGTTTGGCCACAAGATCAGTGCTCTTGGAGAGAAGGCTGACATGAAAAGGCCCATAGTTTGGTGAGACACAAGCACTGCTGCAGTTGTCAGAGTGCTGCAGCCTGGTATGTGCAAAGGACTGAGCAGGAGTGTTAGCAAAACTGCATGTGGAGCCTGAAGAGCTGGAAAGAACACCACCAGCGGCAGTGAAGACCCATCCCTCCCTGGTTTCAAAGACAGCAGGATGTCCAGCATGGAGGACAATGAATGGCAAAGCATTACACACCAAAACGTGCACCTGTGAGCGAGACACTGCACACAGCAATCACAGCAGAGGAATCCTTTATGGATAACCACACACAGCCAGGGAAATAAAGCACCTCTAGCAGCCATGCTTTGAAACATTACTGACAAAACGGGAAAAGGTCATCAGCTTTACCTGAAAACAGTTGCTATACGGATGAACATTTAGCACACACTAAATACTGAGATAAAACTTGCATTAAGCTCAAGAGCCTGGGTATGTGAGAAGGAAGGGCAGATAATTTTGATCTTTTTTACTGATATCTGTGTCACAACAATTAACATTGCTCTCCCCTGCTCTGCCCCTGCTCTTTGCTGCCCAGATCTCTTCACCTTTCAACCAGGTGACTGGTGCAGCTGACTCAGCAAAGCCGTTTTTACCCTGTCATCTTCTTCTGAAACAAAAGGCACAAAATATCCCCCACCAAGGGTCTCTCCCAATATTCCTTTCATTTGTTCCTTCTGTGCTTTCTGTCTTCAGGCTTCCTTAAAAACGTAATTCCTATTTCTGTCACAGCATCGCCCTTCAGCCTGTCCTGGAGGAAGGAAACTTCTGCTGCCAAGTGAACCTGGAAAGAATCAGAACTGATCAGTTAAACAAAGAAATGCCCAATTTTCCACCCTCCTGTGGTATAATGAGCTTTTCCTCTCTCTCTTACCACAAGAGGACTCCCTTTCTCAGGTTTTATAGGAAACAGATATCTAAATTGTTTTAAAATTGCTTTCCCAACTAAGCTAATACAAAGGAAATTTATAGACACTGGAATTTGTATAGCACATTACCCTTCTCCCCAGTGCTTTGTTTTCTTCTGAGACCCTAAATTGCATACTTGATGATTTTGTGATCACAGAATTTCCTAGTCATGTACTAAGACTTATGATATAATACTTTTGTTACTTAGTCTTGTATCAAATGCTATAATTCTGAGACTGATGTATGTAAATAACACTACAGGGTTGAGTTTTTTGCCTCTTGAAATATAAGATCTATGCCAAATTACATATTAACAAAAAACATAAAGCAGCCCAAAAGTAATCTCCCTGAAGAAGCTGTACAGGTCAGAAATTTTCAAATTATGCCCTTTATTTATTTCTTTGCAAAAACCTTACATTTAAGAACAAAATTTGGATTGCTGTCTGATACCCTTCTGATACTTTGGTTTTAACATTATACCCCTTTGGTTTTTACATTATACTCCTCCACACTTCATTCTCTCTTTCAGCAAGTACCACGGTAACCTGAGCATATTATTTATCTTGACATATTTGGAAATAATCAGGGATGACTATTACTGGGTACAGCTGTGCAGGGAAGTGTGGTAGGCTCCAGGAGCAGTGGAGAAACCCAAAATGCCCCTCTGTCCCTCCACTTTAAGTGTTACCTGTCTTCCTGATCCCACCTGGCTTTTGCACCCAAGTCAGCCACTGAACAGACTGAACAGCCAGACAGGGACAGTGTGGAGGTGAGATAATCCATGTGCTTCTCTATCTCAGGATCCAGGATCAGCCTTGTCCTCTTTTATCTATCCTTGTCTTATATTTTATCTAAATATAGACATTTAATCCAAGAGGTTAAACAATACTGTATTTCCTACTTTTATCTGAACAAGTGATTTTGTTTTCCTGTGCTTCTGAGAATTAACAAAGAATGGAGAAAACAGGTGTGCACTTCCTTACCATTTCCAAGGCACCTCGAATCACCCCACAGAGGAGGTTACAATAGCAAAGTGATGCTCGTTCCGCTGGCAGCTCCTCCACAAAGTCCACTAGTGGATTTTTGTCCAGGATTAAGGAGAATTCATTCCCTGTGGCACTATTGCAGCTCACACTAGGGGTGACCCCAAGGTACATCTTGAAAGCAACCTTCAAAAGAATGAAACTCTGCTGCTTAAATGGGTTGCGTGCAAACCAGAGGTGAAACTTTAAAAAGAAGCATCCTGTAGACCAATTTTACCCCAGGAAATAAGGGGGAAGAGCCAGACAGGATAGAAATCAAAGTACATTTGTCTCTTCTGTGATCAGCTTGAGCCAGCAATGCAAATCTAGAGCTGTGTGATGCTCCGGGAAAACACACCAGAGAGCTGTTCTTCTTTGAAGTTCCTACATTTACAACCCCACACAAAGTGGTTTTACTGTTAACACTCCTCTGCTTTCAGTCACGTCATACTCCCTTGGGACCATTAGCATCTATATTAGGTCATTCACTTCCTCACCAGCAACTTCTACAATCACAGCTCACGATCTCCCTCTACTCTGATCCCTCCATCTGCAGTCACTCCACAAAACAAACAGCCCACCAAGAACAAGACCTCCAAGACTGCAAACAGCCGGCTACACGGTGCCTGCTTCCTTTCCGCGGCGGGTGAACTGTGCTGTGACTGTGCCACATCTGGCCTGCCGGCGCTCGGCAGCGGTGACCTCACGGCGTTATCTCGGCCGGGCGTGGGAGGCGGCGGAGCGGCTCCTCGGCGCGGCTCTGCCCCGCTGCGCGCCGCTGCCCAAGCAGAGAAGCTGCCTCGACTTCCCCCTCCTTAGTGAGCACCAGAGATGGATGCATTCCAAACAATCCTGAAGTTCTTTATGAACAGGAAAACAGCTATAGGTTACAGTTTTATGGCGCTGCTGACGATGGGAGGTGAACGTGTGTTTTCCCTTGTTGCTTTCAGATGCCCTTGCAGCAATGAAAACTTCAGGTACGGTTTGGTATTTCTCTTCTCGCCAGCTCTTGTTTTGCTGATTATTGGATACTTCTTGAACAGCAAGACCTGGAAACTCTTCACAGGCTGCTGGGTGAATCCCAGGAAAATATTCCCCAGAGGGAATATCTGCCATTTCTTTTACGTCTTTGGACAAATCACTTTAAATGCTCTGGTAGCCCCAGTGATGTGGCTTTCCGTGGCTTTGCTCAACGGGACTTTTTACGAATGTGCCATGAGTGGCTTGAAAAATCCTGCCTACTTACAAGCAGTTTGCCACAGCAAATCGGAGAGCTGCTTTGAAGAGCTACACAAAGTAGCCTGTGACAAAAGCTCCCTGCCCTTTTCAGAGAGTGATGAACTGAAAAGAACACTTCAAGCACAGTCCCAGGTAAGAAAAATTATAAACAAAGAGCATTATCCAGGTTGTACTGCTGCTGGGATTTATCTGTGGAAGATCCTGATGTCAGAAGTTTTGTTAAAACTGTTGACTTCATGTAAACAATGTTTTGGCAGCCTCACAAAATACAATCAATCCATCTTTTGGTTCAGTTTGAGCTGTTTCATATTTCTTAGGGGTCCTCACTGGTGGCAGGGTCAATAAGACCAGAAAACCTAAAGCTTTCTTCCTGAATGGACCTTGCTCTAAGGAGAGGAAAAAAACCCGACTGGATTGTTTAGGAGGCTGATGTCACCCCATTAAAGGGGTCTGTCCTATTAAAAATTCATGCCACACTGTCACATTTTAAATCGTTGTGATAACTGTAGGGAATGTTTATGTCACTAACAGTAGAAAAATACTGGAAAATAGGATTTGTGAAATATCTTTTGACTGCTTACATAATGTGTTTCTATTTGTATTCCTCATTTTCATGATGCCAAATGTAAGCATGTTTTTGTCCTGCTTGGAGGAAGTGAGAAACAATAAAGCAAGCAGATCATGCAAAGCTGAGATCTTACTACATTCTACAGTATTTGTGCAGTACAGTTTTGCTCTCTGCATTGTAATGCAAATAAATTCAGAGGCAAAAAATCAAAACGGTGGAGAGAATTTTAAAAAAGCTACAGAAAAGGGAAAACACTCTGTGGAGCCAGCAAGTTTTTGTCAGGAATTGTATCCATCTGGAACAATTTCCTTTCCAAGAGCTGCTTTTATTTTTAAGTCCTCTTGCAAATAGGACAAAGACTGGCTGCAGACAAAGCAATTTGTTTGTTAGTTTTAGAAGGCAACAACAGATAGTGCTTAAGACTTTAAGTTGTAAGTATAGGAAATACTGAAAGACCGGGGATTCAGTAGTAGCATGAGAATATATGAGTTCATTTTCCAAGCTGCAAGAAAGTGAAAAACTGCTAAAAAGAGCGATTTCTCAAATACCCATAAAAATCACTAGTCAGGACAAAGTGATTGGGAAACATAAAGGAAAGCTCTAACTATTCTTCCATACCAGTTCCTAAGAATAGTTGTTTGTCAAGCTTCTCTGTTTCACAGACTTTCCCGAAGAAACTTTCTGTATTCCATCAGCTAAACACAGATTTTTATTGGTGGTTATTTTTTTCAACATCAATACAAAAGTTCACATAAGAAAGGATGCAGCTCTCCATATCATCACCATTAGAGCATGGGAAATCAGTTCCACTTCATACAAGCCTCTGAGCCCTAGAATATTTGTCCTACACTGGAACTTTTTCCAGTGTTTGAAAACAAGTTTAATTTTTTTTTTTTTTTTTTTGACACATCACAGTGGATCAGACAAGTAAAACCATTGGCTAGGCCAGTGGTACAAGGCAGGAAAAAATTGTGTTCACACTGCTGCTCTCCTTAGAGGAGAACATCCCACAATAACCATTTCAAGCACATTTTTCCATTCTTGCCCCTTGCTGAGCAAGTAATTATGGAAGTAGCTCTTTCTTTTAAAATGCTCTTGACAGAACTTTGTCTAAATCTGAAGCTGCTACAGAAAAAAGAAGTTTAGTTATGCTGGTTAATTATGTGGTTGTTTTGTTGGAGGTTTTTTCCTAATAAAAAGAAGCCAGAAAATAAAACACCTAACAGTGGCCACAGTTTAAAAGGTTGGTTGATTTGGGACAAAAGTTACTTGCCCTTTTTGGTTTTGTAGTTCTTCATGATTCAAAATTAGTAATTCTTGTTGGGTATTTTTATGTAACGCTTTTAGGAGTTAGAAAACACTTTACCAAAGAGACACCAAAAGGAGCAGTATTGAGAAGCCTCTATGCTGATGGACTTACTCTTTCTCTTCAGTTCTGTCTTGGTTTGAAAAGACAGGTGTCTGCTAAGGAAGGCAGGAGGCTTCCTTGAAATGGAAAATGTAAACCCCCTCCCTCCAAATTATTATAATTTTGAAATTAAGGGGCTCTCAGGCAAAGATATGGGAATAGGAATAACAGTTCTTTACTAGGAAAATTAAAAATACAAATGTAATAGGAAAAGAAAAGAAAAGAAAAGAAAAGAAAAGAAAAGAAACCACTGACAGAGTCAGAATACAACTTGACACCCTGTGGGTCAGGATGTTGGTACCAGTCCCGTTAAATGGTGGCTGCAGACCTGGAGTGACAGATGTGGTTCTGTTGAAGCAGTGATCCTGTAGAAGGGTGTAAGTTTTCTCTGAAGGTCTGGTGGCAGTGTAGATGGGCCTGGTCTTCCCCTGGGAATCCAGTGGAGAAGACAGTTGCTCCTCTGGGAATCCAGTGGGAAAAGGCTGCTCCTCTGGGAATCCAGTGGAAAAGGCTGACTGTGGTGTTCCTAATCTCAGATTATATCCAAGTAGGAATGCTTGGCTCCTCCCCCTGGGCAGAGCTTCTCACAGTGGGATGATATAATTCTTATCAGTCATGCAGTGAGACTCACTGGCCCATGAACAGCAGATATCTCCCCGAAGGGAGGATTGGTTGTGGAAGAGCTAAAGAAAAACTGCCCAATTAACAGAAGATAACTGTGCCACCTTTAACAGATGGGAATAGAATACACACCCCCACTTCCAACCTAAGACACGTCCCCATGTGGATGTCCCAGTAACATCAAGGCCAGCACCAAATGCAAATAAAGTGCGGTCACTTTGTCAGACATTCGTGATTCAAGTAGCATTTTCACTTGGGTCTTTTTAACCTGAAACTGATTTCTTTTGCCTTCCCAGATTTTAGGCTGGTGTGTGATAGTTACCTCAGCTCTCCTCTCCCTGCTAACCACTTGCTGTGCCAGCTGCCAGTCAAAAGTCAGCCACCTCCAGCTGATGTTCTGGAGAGTGTATGAGGGGACGGAGAAGGAGCAACTGGAGCAGATTTTCCAGCTGTATGCCACCAAGCTGAGCGAGCGAAACCTGAAGTGCTTTTTTGAAAACAAGGAACCAGAACCCATTTCCCTGCCAGCTTTCCAGGCATGGGAAGATGCTTCCCAGCTCTATTCTTTCAGCAGCAGCAAACAGCATTATAGCACGATTCACAGGCTAGTTGAAGAAGGCCAGAAAGGAACCAGTGAGGAAAGAGAGACATTGCTGGACCTTGCGGACAGAAGGGAAGTACCATAGACCAAGTATATTTTCAGCATTTTTAATATCTTGTTAATATGGCATACTTCTAGCTGGTTTTGCCTCTGTATTTTTTTCACAATGGCCTCTTTCTTCTTCATCATGTTTCCTCCCTGTTAGTTACTTGCTCCAAAAGGATGGAATGAAATTATTTCTCAACACGAATGAAAAGGTTGCAGTTCTCCACGGCACCCAGAGTTCATGTCACTGGCTCAGCATCAAGAGCTGACAGCACAAAGGAAAAATGGTTTCTACAAGAGGATTTTAACAACATGCTATGCAAAATGTGCTATAGTGTGCTTGTCCTATGTAAATGTAGAGACTATCAACAAGTAAAGTCATTTAAAGTGTGTGAATATAATAACAAGATATGGCTTTCTGACAGAAAGTAAAAAGTAAAGGTTTTCTGTCCAGGTCATTTCCAGGCCAATTGCAGGTGCAGACTTGTTTCGAAGCATCAGTGATCCCTCAAGGCTTCTCTGTTTTTGGATATTTTGTCTTTGTAGAACATCTCCCTATTATCTGCTCCCAGTGTAGACTTTCTCTTTGTATGGATATCAAGTTCTAGTTTTGAGCAAGTGTTAGGCACTGGGTGCAGACTGTAGTGCTATGTAATACTGTTGTT